ATACATATGTTCAGGAAATAGAGTGATATTTCTAGTTTGATGTTGACTGGGTGGGTTTTGGCCTCTTTCTCTTGTCCGGTTTCTCGTGGAGTAAGGAGTTCGAGACCAGCCTGGGCAACATAGTGAGACCCTCTCCTGACTGGGCTGGAACAGTGGAGGTCTGCGCTCAGTCCTCTTTCTGCCTTCAGCTCAGGACCCAGCTGGTTTTCTTTGCTTGCTTTCTCCAAGCTCTAGGGTTGTGCTGTCCCATAGAGTAACCATGTGTGGCTGCTTAAATTTAAGCCAATTCAAATCACGTAGTTAAAAATTCATTCCTCAGTGGCACTAATCACCTTTTGAGAGCACTCAGTCACCACATGTGGCTTGTGGCTATTGTATTCACTGCTGTAGAGAATAAACTGACTTAACAAGTCACAGTGTCAGCTGTGCTGGGATGATCCAGGTCTCCCTAGGCAAGAGGAGAGGGATACAGGCCCTAGTTGAACCCTTCCTCTCTAGAGAGGAGAGACCCATTGCTTAGCCTGGGCAGCTGTGTTTCCACCTGATCCCACAGACTGGCGTGACGGGAATCCCCTCCCTCACTGTAGCTAGTGGCTCTTAGCTCCTGTCACCACCCCAACCCAAGGTCCCAGTTGGCTGAGTCCTCTTCTACCCCCAGTGCCCTTTTCCTCAGGCTGGATTGGTCCTACAGTACTTCTCACACTGTTATCTGTTGCTGATTTTTAAAAAATAAAACCTGGGCCGGGCTTGGTGGCTCAGCCTGTAATCCCAGCCCTTTGGGAGGCTGAGGCGAGAGGACTGCCTGAGCCTGGGGGTTCAAGACCAGCCTGGGCAATTTGGTGAGACCTCATCTCTACAGTAAATCAAAAAATAACCTGGGCATGGTAGCGAGTGCCTGTAGTTCCAGCTTCTTGGAAGGCTGAGATGGAAGGATTGCCTAAGCCCAGCAGGTCGAGGCTGTGGTGGCCGTGAGTATGCCATGACACTCCAGCCTGGGTGACAGAGTGAGACTCCAACTCAAAAAATATAAAATAAATAAAAACTAAAGCCTGGTGCCTCCTGTTTTATGAAATAATAAATTTGTGGTATGTAAATTAAATTATACTTAAAAATATTTGAGGGGAACCAGACAGTGGCTCACACTTGTAATCCCAGAACTTTGAGAAGCTCAGGTAGGATTCCTTTAGCTCAGGAGTTCTAGACCAGCCTAGGCAACTTAGCAAGACCTCATCTCTACAAAAATAAAAAATAAATAAGCTGGGTATGGTGGTGCGTGCCTGTAGTCTTAGCTACTCAGGAGGCTAAGGCAGGAAGATCACTTGAGCCCAAGAAGTCGAGGCTGCACTGAGCTATGCACTCCAGCCTGGGTGACAGAGACACCAATTCAAAAAAACTAAAAAGATAAAACTATTCTAGGGAAAGAATGGAAAGGAGACTGTCTCAGAGTGCTACCAAAAGCACCACATGTGCTCTGGTGAGATGCACCCCAATTCCCATCTCACCCACCTCACATTTCTGTGGTCTGAATCCCCCCACACTCTTCTAGCAATGCCCACCCCATCCCTGGGGCCCCCTCTGTACCTGCCCAACTGGTTCTTGCAGGATCCATCTGGGGGAGGCGGTGGGGGGGGTCCAGAGGAGCAGCTCTTTTACATTTTCTAGTAACTGCCTGGAAGGAGGGGTTCCACGATGGGGTACAGGTAGCTCTGTCTACCCCACTGTGGTTGTTTGTTTAGACTGTGGTTGTTGCCATGGTCCCCTGAGAACTTGGCAAGTGTGAGGAGTCAAACACAGAATGGGGCCTTACCTGGAGAAGGTGTGCTCTCAGAGTGGGGTGGGGGCTTTTCCTCCCCAGGGCCTTTGCTTCAAGACAGGGAAATGTATCCTACTGACCCCAAGACACCCTGCAGCCTGACAGGGGTGGATTCAGCCTTGCACACGATGATAATCTAGACCATTTATTGAGCACTTACTATGTTCCAGGTGCAACTGTTAAACTCTCCAAGGGAAGGCAGGACCAGGCTGCAGTTTCCAGAGTCAGACGGGTTTGAGTTCTACTGCAGTTTCCAGAGTCAGATGGGTTTGAGTTCAAGTTTAGGATCCCCATTTACTGGCTGTGTGACCTTAAAAAATTTCTTGATCTCTCTGAATTTCCATTTCTTTAGCTGAAAAATGGGGTTAGCCGTACCTGCTTCCAAATGGCTTGATAAGGATGTAAAGCTCTCAGCACAGAGGAAATGCTCAACCAGTGGGGTACTGTGAGTCCGTGCAGGCAGGGCCCTAATCCCTGGGTTTACTGTAATGTGCCCACCACTCCCCTGGCATGCTTCCACTGCCCCATCCCCACACCTTTGTCAGGCTGTCCTCTCTGCTTGGAATGTCCTTTTCTCTATTCCACTCTCCACAAATCAAGATCCTTCCTTTCTTCAAGGCCTGGCTCAAATGCCACCTGCATCACATTGCAGTGACTTGTGTGCCTGGGTCTTCCCCCTATCTAGGGTGGAAACTCCTAGAGCCAAAACTGGAACAACCTAACAGTGTAACAACAGAGCAGTTAATTGCATGGGCTTAACCCTGGATTAGTTACTTGACATCTCTATACCTCATTTGCTTATCTGTATAATGGGCTTAATAATGATACCTACCTACCAGGCGTGGTTGTGTGCAGCTGTAATCCTAGCTACTCGGGAGGCTGAGGCAGGATGATCACTTGAAGCCACAAATTCAGGACCAGCTTGGGCAGCATAGTGAGACCCCATCTCTAAAAATAATAATAATTATGATACCTACTCCACGGGAATGTTCTGACTTTTTAATGAGGTAATGTACTTAAAATGAGGTCTGGCATGTAAAGAAGCCTTTAATAAATGTGGTCAACCTGCACCGTCCAATATGGTAGCCACAAGCCACATGGGACTATTTAAAGTAAAATTAATCAAAATTCAACTCAATTAAAACTCTGATTCTTCAGTCACATTAACCATATTTCACATGTGACTAGAGGCTACCAAGCAAATGTCCAGCCCAGATACAGAAAATGTCCATCATCACAGAAAGTTCCATTGGATGGCACCATGAACGATGAAGATACGTGCCCACAGTAAAGTGTTCCACATATTTGTCATGTGGGTCAGGAGAAGTGCTTGGGGATGTGTCTGAAGGCCCACAACTCCCAATCCCCAATCCCTCCTTCTGGCCCTCCCTGCCCAGTCTAATGCCCCAGAAATAGCCAAGGCACCTCCCATTAGAGAGATTAGGGTGATAAAGGAGACTGGTGAGAAACGGGAAGGATTAGGGGCTAATGAGAAGGCAGGAAGTGGGTGTGGACAGCAGTCAGGCTTTGCAGAAATCGAGGCTGGAATATGAAGTGGGGCAGGGCGGAGGTGTGGGAGTTACCACCTGCTCCTGAGAACACATGGCAGGTGCTCCAGACAGAGGGAAATGGTCAAAGATGGCCCCTCCCCCTTCTGGATCCAACTTTATCAGAAGCCCAGAGCAAGGAAGACGTCCTTCAGGAAGGTGTTGGGTACTAACCCACATCAGTTAGCCTAAAGAGACCCTGAGATAGCCCAGAATAGAGGCCCATGATAGTCTAGGGCTAGGGACTCAGGTTGCCCAAGTGGTAGGGGACCTAGAAGAGTCCTGGGCAGAGTGACATGGACTAGCCCAGCTGTTGGGGTCGAGGCTAGCCCAGAGGTGGTTTCAGCCCATGCAGATCTCCTCAAGGCCTAGGATATGTGGTCATGTGTCTCCAGCTAATGATTTCTTTCAAGTCAGTCATTGATAAGGTGGTCTCTCCTTCCTGGAGGAGGCGAATAATCCCTTAGATGTACCCAGCACTAGACAGTTTGTATGTCTCATTAGATATTTCCTTCAACCACGTAAGGAGGGTGGGGCAAGGGTTGATAGCCCCATTTTATGAATAAGACTAATGACATGCAGAGATACCACTTTGAAAAGGATGTTTTCAATATCCTTTTGTAATATCCCACCACTCTCCTGACGTGCTTCCACTGCCCATCCCCTCACCTTTGCCAGGCCATCCTCTCCACTTGGGATGTCCTTTTCTCTATTCCACTCTCCATGGATCAAAATCCTTCCTTTCTTCAAGGGCTGGCTCAAACATCTCCCACATCACATTGGAGTAACCTATGTGCCTGGGTTCTCTCCCTAAGGAGGGAGGAGGGCTGGGCCCTCCTCACTGGCCAGGTGTTTAAAATCCCAAGAAACACCCTCACCACCCAAGGCTATCGACCTGCTCCATGGTTCCTTTGGGGCGCTGTCCCTAACTGGAGGTCCAGGGGACGAGGTGTCCTGGGTGCCCCTTGTTGTCCTCATGACTTCAGCCATGGGAAGAGAGGACAGCAGAGTGAGGGTACGGAGCCTTTTCCCACATTGTGGTTTGCAGAGTCACCTCCTCAGAATGAGATTTGAAAGACATCAGGGAAATTATCACCATCCTGCGGAAAATACAAACCTTCCCCAAGGACACATTTTGAGTTCCATTTTCTGTCCTAGCTTGTCCTCTTCTTGACTGTAGATGTTTGTTATGAAAGAAGAAGAGGAACTTCCCACCCCTGACAAAGTGAATGAATTGTTTACTAGATCAGCCTCAGACTCCTATCCTGTCAAAGGCGGGAGAGGTGGGGGGGGGATATTTGGAGAACCCTACATTAGCGTGATGGAGAGATTGAGGCTTAGGGAGAGAGGTTACCCACGAGAAGTGGTCCTCATTCCCCCGAGCCTCCCACTTCTCCAGAGCAGTGGACACTGAAGACCTGGGAGTGCTCAGGGGGGTCCTGAGCTCCCAAGGTCACAGGAGGCCAGTCTTCTTTTCTCTCAGCTGCTGCTTCCAGGCAGGGGACCTCTGGCACACCCTCCCGTGTCCCCCAGACCTGTCCCAGAGCCAAGCACAGGACCTCACTTAATCCCAGTTATGTAACGTGTAATCCAAACAGTTGGCCAAGGAGGAGGCGCCTAGAGCCACACCCAGGAGGGGGGCAAAAGGCCCCCACTGGGTCAGGGCTGGGAAACTAGGCTTGGCCTCTGCCTGTAGTGGCCACCACTCCTCAAGCCTCAGCCAGCACCATGAGTGGCCAAGTTGGAGACCTGAGCCCCAAGCAGGCAGAGACCCTGGCCAAGGTGAGAGCCCCTCCCTGTGGAGCCCTAGGGGAAAGGGGCTGAGGGGGGCGGGGAAGGAGTGGCCAGAACCCTGCCCCATTCTGTCAATTCAGCACATCCTTGACATTGTCTCTTTGCTGCTGCCTCTCAAAGGGTCAAGTCCCACAGTGTCCAGTGACATGCCCCTGTCCAGGGCAGGGGCTGAGGGAATAGTACCACTTCCAGTCAATCATGTGTCTGAAGCCTACCCGGGTTTAAGCTTAACTTCTTTCCATCCAGGAGCCAGACCCAGAGAACTCTACCTGGCAACTGGGTTCCCTCTTCCTCCCCGCCCCCCTAGTCTTCCTAGGTGGGGGCTGAAGGATGCTGCTGATCTGCCCTTTAACCCCTTCCCCCTGGGATCCTGAAAAGAGGACCCATCTGCAAGAGCTGGAGAGACTAAGCAGAGTGTGTTGTCATTCCCACAGTTAAGGGGGAAGAAGACACATAATTACGAACCATATTTTAGTAGAAAGTGGAACCTCAAAACCAGAAGTTTTGGTGGGGCTAACACATGGAGGAAACCAAGGATACAGTCAAACTCCAAACCACTTACTCACCTATCCAACCATCTAGCCTTTCTTCCATCCACCTATCCATCTTCCCACCAATCCACCCATCTATCCATCCCTCCTTCTCACCATTCACCAACTTTCCATTCACCACTCTTCATCTATCCATCCAACCATCCATCCATCCATTCCCCATTCATTCACTGATTTCTCCTTCCTTTTTCTATCCACCTACCCACTCACTCTTCTATCCACGCTTCTTTCTATCCACTTACTCACCCATCTATCTTTCTTCCACTCACCTACCTATCCAGTGAGCCATCCCTCCTCTTATTCACCCACATACACTTCCATCAGTGTGGGTCAGACTGCATGTGGGAGGGAAAGGGCCATGGAAACAATCTCTGAGTCTGAAGGCCAAGGTGCAATGTGAGAGAACGCCATTGACCAGCATCTTTCTTCCTAGTTCCGAGAAAATGTCCAGGATGTGTTGCCTGCCCTGCCCAACCCTGATGATTATTTTCTTCTACGCTGGCTCCGAGGTGAGGGCAGAGGTGAAGGATCAGGGGAAGCATGAGGGGCCTGGTCCCAGCTGCCTCAGAATGACCCACAGCTCTCAGGATCCAACCATTCCATCTTGCTTCACATGTCCAGGTCGAGAGGAGGAGAGGGGTTAGGGAGAAGAGAAGAGGTTCCACCCAGGCTCCCGGTGGCCTCCATAGCTCTCACTGGCAAGGAGCAAGAGAAAACTGCCTCTTTCCCACCTCACACCTTCCTTCCTTCCTTCTTCTCACAGCTAGGAATTTCGACCTGCAGAAATCAGAGGCCATGCTCCACAAGGTGAGACCCATCCTCCCTGGAGATCCGGGGAGTGGCTTAATTGTGGGGAACAACCCATGCCCCTATACTTCCATCTCCTTTTTCAGGGAACTGGGAGCCTGGTGGGGTCTCACCACTCACTTCCCTTTCAGTATATGGAGTTCCGGAAGACCATGGACATTGACCACATCTTTGATTGGCAGCCCCCAGAGGTGAGCCAACCCTCCCCGCCCCAAACTCTTCAGTCTTCCATGGACACAATACTTAGGCAGACTCAGGGTCACTGGGGACCATGAGTGAAGGGCAGCAAGCCTGAGAGGCCTGTGGAATCCCCTGACCCCGCAGGCACCTCTCCTGTCATAATAACAAATATTTCCTGGGGGCTTGCAAAGCCCAGGGCTGGGTTAAAACTAGCAGCATGAGCTCTTTTAATCATCACGACCCTATGAGGTGGCTACTATTGTCCCCACTTTATAGTGGAAGACTCTGAAGCCCAGCAAAGGTTAGGCAACCTGCCCACAGTTCCATGGCCCCAAGGTGGGGCTGGGATTTGAGCTCTGGTCTGTCTGAGGTGCCCTGAAGCTGGGTTCCTACCCACCACAGTTAGCCTGTGTTTCTGTGCCCCTCCTCCCTGGGGCTTTGCTCAAAGCATACTGTCTGGGTGGGAAAATAACTTAGCCCATCAAGCTGGCATCTGAGAAGAGGAATGGTCACCATCATTTGTTGGGCATACACTCCAGGCCAGGCAAAACATTATCTTGGGAACTTTCCCCGACAATTCCAAGAGGGAGACTTATCCAAACCATTTTACAGAAGAAGAGCTAGAATGGAGCTCAGAGAGGTGGCACCACTTGTTCAAGGACACACAGCAGAGAAGCAGCAGCTCTATTGACCTTGAGAAGCCATATTCTCCCTCCCTAAACCCAACTCCTCTCCGTGGATATGGATATGGGAGACACCGGGGGCACAACCAGGAAGCCCGGAGACCTTGACCCAGGCCTGGCTGAGACCTGGCTTTGCCACTGACCCACCATGAGCAAGACCCTCCCCTGCAGGACCCTTGGTTTTTTCACTTGGGACAATAGCGCCACCCTCTGGGGAGGGACGGTACTTTGTACCGTGATTCGTACAGGCTCCAGCTGTCCAGGTCAACCTGGTCTGGGAGTCTCCAGGGAGGTGTGTCATGCCAAGTTCTGTCTCCTTCCACGTCCAGGTGATCCAGAAGTACATGCCTGGGGGCCTGTGTGGCTATGACCGCGATGGCTGCCCGGTGTGGTATGACATCATCGGGCCACTTGACCCCAAGGGGCTGCTCTTCTCAGTCACCAAACAGGACCTGCTCAAGACCAAGATGAGGGACTGTGAGCGCATCCTGCATGAGTGTGACCTGCAGACAGAGCGGGTGAGGCCCAGGCCGGGTGGGGTGGGCGGCTGGGGGCAGTCGAGGCTGCTGTGGGCTCGGTCTCGGGAGCACACCTGTGTTCTCTGGTCCCGCAGCCAGAGGGCTCCAGGGTCAGACACCAACTCTACTCCTTCCCAGTTGTGTGGCCTTGGGAAGGCAGCTCACCTCTGGGAGCCTCAGTTTCCCCACCTATAAAACAGGAATAATAATAAATAACAGTTGCAAGGACTAATTGAGATAGTGCAAGTCTGTGGCTTGGCACACAGGGCCTAATGCATAGTTCTCATCAGTGGGAGTTAGCGCCATTCCCTCTGAGTCTTTGCCCTTGCTGGTCCTTCCGTCTGGATGACCCAGCTTCCGCCACACGCCTACCTCCTACAGCTTCTCCTGGCTCTCTTCTATCTATCTTTCAGGTCTTAAAGTTAGATATTACCTTCTCTGAGGCCCCTGCCTGGACTAAATACCCCTTTGTGTCCCTGTAGCCCGTGTGGACCCATCCCAGCATGTATCACAGGACTGGGATGTGCTGGTTATTTGTCATCTCCTCAGCCAAACTGTGAACTCTTTTTTTGGTTTTTTGTTTTTTTGTTTTTCGAGTTAGTGTCCCACTCTGTCGCCCAGACTGGAGTGCAGTGAAACGTCCACAACCACTGCAGCCTCAACCTGCTGGGATCAGAAAATTCTTATAATAGTAAATATTACTATAATATTTACTTCAATAATGATTATTATTAGGGGGCCTCAGCCTTCTAAGTAGCTGGAGCCATGTGGGCGTGTGCCACCATGCCGGCTAACTTTTTGATTCATTGTAGAGACGAGGGCTCACCAAATTGTTCAGGATGGTCTCGAACCCCAGGACTCAGGCAATCCTCTTGCTTCCGCCTCCCGAAATGCTGGGATTACAGATGTGAACCCCTGTACCCGGCTAAGCCGTGAACTCTTTAAGGGCGAGAACTGTGGGTCACTGAGCACTATCCATTATACTTTCAGTGTCTGGCACAAAATAGGTGCTTAGTAAATATCAGTTGGACAAATGGAGGGATGAATGAATGGCGATGCGAATGGATAGACGGGCCAACGGGTTGATGAGTGAATTCACGTATGAGTGGGTAGACGGGTGAATGGGTAGATAGCTGGATGGGTGCTTGAGTGGGGAAACACACTCGCTGTTTTGTCTGCTTGCTCCTCTGAGGACAGAGTGCATGGCTAGAGGAAGCCCTGCGGGTCCGTGTACTTGGATCACCATCTCCCGAGCTTGCACCCTGAACCCTGGACTTGCTCCCTGCCCTTGTCTTTGCAGCTAGGGAAGAAGATTGAGACCATTGTGATGATATTTGACTGTGAGGGCCTGGGACTGAAGCACTTCTGGAAACCTCTGGTGGAAGTGTACCAAGAGGTGAGAAGAAGGCCTGTAGGCACTCCTCACTTCCTTTGATGGCCAGCTTGACCTGCCATGGCTCTGTTCTTCACTCAGAGACATTTAGTTTAAAAAAAAAAGTGCTGGGCCTATCACTGTGACAAAGGACCCAAAGGGTTTTAACACATTTCCTAGAGGATCCCACAGACCAGGCCTCAGGGACAACACAGTACTGAGAACACAGGGCCCCCTCCTGCCAAACTCTTTCCAGCCCCATCACCCCTAGTTCTGTGACTCGTGCAAGTCAGTTCGCCTCTCCAAGCCTCAGTTTCCTCAACTACCAAATGGGGATAGCAATGCAGGGATACTTCAGCGAGTTGTTATGTAAAATGTATACACACTGCTTGGCAAACAGTGAACATTTACTAAATAGTAGTCATTATTATTATGTCATTACTGTAACATTCACTCCAATAATGATTATTATTAGGGGGTGATTATAATGGTCTGAGGTGAGAAGATCCCCTCCAAGGGTGATGGCAAGAAGGAAAACCCTCCACACCCTCTGAAACCTCCAGACAGGAGATTGCAAAGGCCGTGGAGGTAGAAGATAATGTGTGGGCTCTGATGGGATCTTCCTTGGTTCCGTAGTTCTTCGGTCTCCTTGAAGAGAATTACCCAGAGACACTGAAGTTCATGCTTATTGTGAAAGGTATGTGACAAGTGACTTTACTTACCTATGCCTCAGGTTCCTAATTTGTATCCTGAGGAAGATAACAACACTTTTGTCCCAGAGTTGTTGTGAGGCAGGTTGGTTGCTTGGCTGAATGCAGATCACTTAGAGTGCCTGGCATAGGGTAAGTGCTTAGTAAATGGTAACATCTATGGTTGACCTTATTGTAAGACGAGGCAGCTCCAACCTTGCCCTTCCAGGAATCTCCCCTCATTTCTCCTACCTACAGTGATCTCCCCTTCTCTAGACTGCCTCTGGCCCTGGCAACCCGTTCTTGCCTTTCTTACTTGCTGCCTTCTGAGGGTCTCTGGATGTTTTATGTGTATCCATCCTATTTTTCTGGCTGAGTTGTCTGCTCCTTAAAGGCGGGGACCTGATTCTCCACTTCCATTGTATCCCTCATAGGCCTGAGGCCATGGTAGATGCTCCATAGGTATTTGGGTGGTTATTGTTTAGGTGGGTGGGTAGATGGAAGGGTAGGCATATCTTTGATGATTGACTGACTGGTTGGTTGGTTGTCCAATTGACTGGCCAGCTGATTGGAGACTTGGTTGGCTAGTTGGTTGGCTGGCTAGTTGTTAGCTTGGTTGACCGATTGGGTGCCTGGTTGGCATTTCAGTTGATTGGATTTGGTTGACTGCCCTTTGGTTGGATGGTTTGTTGAATGCAGGATGTTGGAACTGGCCAAGATCAGCCGTGACTCCTCTATATCATTGGCAATAGTCATTATGGAGAGAAAGTCTCAATTGAATTATTTTCTTTCCATTACCTTACTTGTATCTCTCCAGCCACCAAACTCTTTCCTGTGGGCTACAACCTCATGAAGCCATTCCTGAGTGAGGACACTCGCAGGAAAATTATAGTATTGGGAAGTGAGTAGTTCCAGCTTGATTCCCTGACTCCTATACATAAGCTTTAGAGTAAGTTTGGTCCATCATTTTGTTCCTAATTCCTCACATCACCTAGAGTCATAGGCACCTTTTTCTCAAAAGCAAAGTGGATCTTAACCTATAGAGTCTATCAGTTACCTACACCTTATTCCCTGCCATACTCCTTTGTTGTTAAGGCCTCCATACCCTACTTATGGGTTTTAGTTTGGTTGCTCGTCAATTTCTGGTCTATGGGCCTCAGTTTTCTTTCAGTATTAATAACCTCAGTCCTTCTAAAGGCAACCTGGACTGAGGAGGATGAGGAAGAAGAGTAGGAAGAGATGCCATGATTCAGAGAAGAGGGGCCCAACAAGAAGGGTCTGGATAAGGAAATAATGGTCATCCATTTGATGAATTATGGGGCAGTCATGAGAAAAAATACTGTGAATGAATACACAAAGTTATGGGAAATGTCATTAAGTTTTTAAAAAGTAGATTATAAAGCATGTGGACAGTATCATCAAATTTTTATAAAAACAAGTGTATTGAAACAAATACATATTTCTTGAAGGAAATATGTGAGAAATCATGTGTTTAATTTTATTATTTGTATTTTTCTACATTTTCTAAACTTTGTATAATAATGCGTATTGACTTTATGAGTAGGAAAACTAGTTGTAGTTACAAGTGACGGGGTGAAAGGAAGATAGAAGGAAGATAGTTCTTAAACCCAAACCAATGACCCTGAACTTGGGGAAAAACTTCTCCCAAGGATAATAGATCACAGAGCCAGAAGAACTGAAGACCCAGGACTGAGGGGGTCTTACAAATCCTTACTTTCTCTCCCTTCCTGATACTGAACTATTGCATCCATCCAATTCCACTGGGATGGAGAGCTTGATGGATTCTGAGGTAACCTGGTTCGAGGGGCCCAGGCCCATGCCTTCTAAGTCTGCCAACTTCTGGTGACTTGTTGGTTACTGCCACAGTTCCCAAGTACAAAGCCTCTGCCCCACTTGGTACCCACAAGACTCTGTACATTTGGCCCTGGTGTGCCGGCATTGTGGTCTTATCCCATTAGAGAGGACGTCCCCCCCCCAACTATGGGTAGTGGGTAGCCTGGATTAGCCACAGGGCTGGGACCATGGTGATAGCCAGGACCCAGGACTCTTAGAGCTATGCATTGGGCATGGAGAAAAATAATTGGCATCATGGCCATGGTGATTAAGCAGGGGGAGGCTCAGGCCTGTCCACCTCCCACCAGGAGGTCTGACTTGGGTATGTCAATTACTCACCCAGTGATGTCAACAAGTTCCTTGACTTCATTGGGCTTCCAAGTCTCCTTGAAACAATTAGACAACTCTTAGAATTGCTACTCATGACAGGGAAAACTTCAAGAATGTGCAAACCCAACAGCCAAGGAGAAACACATTTTCTCAGCAACACAGTACTGAGAAGGACAATGCCTATAACCCAAGGCCTAGGAGACTGGGGAATCAGCCTAACTCCTGTAGGGCATCTCCCCAAGTTCAGGTCCTTCTGGTGGGTGTGAGAGACTGATTGGTCCCCTCCAAGCTTGATAACCATCCTTCAATCCCCACTGCTCCCAGATAACTGGAAGGAAGGTTTGCTGAAACTCATCAGTCCTGAGGAGCTGCCTGCCCAGTTTGGAGGGACCCTGACTGATCCAGATGGGAACCCCAAATGTTTAACCAAGGTACAAAGAACCCTCTCCAAGACAGGGGAGGCTAGAGAGTCGAACTAGACAGACCCAACCCTGCCCTTACAGAGCTCTCAGCAGCTGTAAGGACAAACAAGAAATGAGGGAACTTTAACCCAAGGGATAAGCTGAACAGGAAAGCTCCCAGAAGTTCCTACCCAGCCTGGATGGTCAAAGCAGTTTTCCCTGGGTGGGGGTGGGGCAATTTGAGCAGGACACTTCCAGAAGATGGCGGAAGTGTCTCAGGCAGGAGAGGGAAGTGAGCCCGTCCCATCCTGTGCCCACAGATCAACTATGGTGGGGAGATCCCCAAATCCATGTACGTGAGGGACCAAGTGAAGACTCAGTACGAGCACTCCGTGCAGATCAACCGCGGCTCCTCACACCAAGTAGAATACGAGATCCTGTTTCCGGGCTGTGTCCTCAGGTGGGGGCAGGCTGCCATCCCACCCGACTGGGCCCTAACCCCTCGTGGATGCATCAGGCTGAGCAGCAACCTGTCCCCTCCCTATCCTTCCCCCTCACAGGTGGCAGTTCTCATCTGACGGTGCAGACATTGGCTTTGGGGTTTTCCTGAAGACCAAGATGGGGGAGCGACAGCGGGCAGGGGAGATGACAGAGGTGCTGCCCAGTCAGCGTTACAATGCCCACATGGTACCTGAGGATGGAAGCCTCACCTGCTCAGAGGGCGGCGTCTGTAAGTCTGGGTTCTGGCTCCAGAAGGTTGGAGCCACCTGTCCCATGGTTCAGAGAAGGAAATGAGGGACAGTGGCACTCCCCTTAACTAGGGACACACAGCCTAGGTTAGTACCATTCAGTCACACACTCATGAGTACCTACTGTGCAACAGGAGTTAGAGACACACAGTTCACATCCATAAGCACCTACTGTGTGCCAGGGGCCAGAGACACACAGTTCACACTCATGAGCACCTACTGTGTGTGAGGCCCAGAGACACATAGTTCACACTCCTGAGCACCTACTATTGCCAGGAGCCAGAGGTACACAGTCCACACTCATGCACACCTACTATGTGCCAGGAGCCAGAGACACAGTCCGCACTTATGAGCACCTACTATGTGCCAGGGGTCAGAGACACACAGGCCCTAAAAGGGACCACAGGACATAGGCAGGGGAAAATAGAGGAGGAGTGGCTTTCCCTGTGAGGAAACTGGGGCTCTGAAGAGTATATCAACTTGTGCAGAGCCACAAAGCTGAGTGTGCACTCAGGGTCCTACCCAGCCTCAGGGCAGCTGCGTAACCTTGGACAAAAGTCTAACTAATCTGGGAAGAACCCTTGGTTTGCTCAGAAGTGAACCCATGGTTACAACCCCTGCCTCTTGGGGTGGTTTTGAGAAGACAAAGGGTGTGCAGCAGGCCTGGTCCAGAACCCCATTTCAAACAAGGGGGTTGGGAGGCCTCTGATGTTCTCAACCATCCCCCTTCCCTTCATTTGAGTGTCCAGGTGTGGAGACAATGGGAGGCAATGACCATTGTTCTCATTGTTCTCACTAAAGCCAGGCCTGGGCACATGCCAAGAGGAGGCCAGTGTCTGTTTACAGGTCCTGCCCAGAGGTGGCAGTTTCCAAGGGGAAGGGAAAAGGCATGGTGGGAACTTGGCCCAGCAAAAAAAGCTGGCAGGAACACAAGCCTTCCTCCTTCACAGACTGGGGAGGGGCTTAGGGAGTATGAAGCCAGGCCCAACTGCCCATCTTTCCATCTGTCCCCAGATGTCCTGCGCTTTGACAACACCTATAGCTTTGTCCACGCCAAGAAGGTCAGCTTTACAGTGGAGGTGCTGCTCCCGGATGAAGGCATGCAGAAATACGACAAGGAGCTCACCCCTGTCTAGGTGGCTCCCTCACTGCTCAGAGACCCCCGACTCTCTGCTTTCTCTTTATATATCCTACTCCTTCTCTTAAATTGATCACTAGTCCTCCTGACTGTGACATTAGTGAGTACAGGAAGAACTGCCCTGGGGAAGACTCATCTGCTATGGTCAGACCAGGAAGGGTGTGAGAGGCACAGCCTCGCAGGGTACCAAGGCTGCAGAAGAGAAAGAAGCAAGGGTAAAGGCAAGGGGTGGATGTCACTGATACTGAAGAAATAGGAAAATTAATCTCCTAGTATTTGCCCTCGCCTATCCTAAGGCATTTGTGTGTACTTGAATTCCTTCTATATGAGCTGTGTGCAACTCAGCTAAATCCTTTTGACCTCCACTCCCTGGACAGAAGATGCTCAGCATATACTTACTTGCAGTGTTGAACAGAGGCCCAAATGACAGGGAGCAGGCAACTGGGTGGCTTTCAGCACCTCGGACAGTGGCAGAGGTGTGGAGGGGATGGACCCTCCTGAAGACTGCAGTCCAGCCCGCAGATTTCTGCAGATTTCTGGCAGTGGTTGCCTCTTAGGAGCCCAGCCACAAGGCCACATGCCCCTGAGAGGAGATGCCTACATCAGGTTTTGTCTGACTTGGATGCTCAGCTTCTCCATCCATCACTCCCACCCTCACCCTGTCCCTTGGAGCTTCTGTGGTAAGCAAGTAAAGAACTTTCTGGAAGCAAAGGAAATTGCATTTGGCTCTAGCTGCTGCATGGCATGATAATAAAGAGAATCTCAGCCATGATTTGGTGAGTGCTCTCTGTATGTCAGAGACTGCGGCAAGTGCTCTGTGAGCCTCAGTTCATTCCCATGCTGTCCTCAAGGTCACTTGTCATAGCTACTTTGTGGAAAAGGAAACTGAGGCTTGGGGGGTGGGAGGGAGCCATTTGCTCAATGTCACACAGCTTAGATGGTAGGTCCTGGACAGAGGAACTATTCTTGTTTGTTTTTTTCCTTACTCCAAAGATATTGCTCTGAAATACCCCACACTACCACCTACTAAGATCCCACTTTTACAAAGGAGGAGAGAAGGCATGACTGGATGTCACCCTCTCCAATCCCTTTTCTTGGATAGAGAAAGTGAGGGGCTCATTGGGGTGCTGGAGTCATGGAGACCTACAAGCCACTTGTCCAAGGAAACTCACTGCAGAGTTGGACAGGGCTTGTGCTTCTAAGTCCAGCATCCCATCCACTGCTCACATGGCATCTGTGAAGCACAACCCCCTACACCTGCCATGACCCTGGTGAGTGGGGGAAAGGCCAGGCTCTAGAGTTTCCTTCCAAACTTTCTGCTCGATTCAGGGACACAGAGATGCTGGCTTGAGCCCCAGGCCCTAACTCAACTCTTGCCTGGAGGAGCCAGATCATGCCAGGAAATAGGGATGGATGGAAACCAAAGGGCTTGGCTGGTGCCATAAGAGACTGCAAGTGCTTTCTTGCACCTGGGCGTGGAATCTTCTCTCTACTTTGTAGATGGGCAAGCATTCCCAAAGGTGCTGGCTTTGTTCCCTCAGCCAACAGGAACAGACTGAAACTAAGGCTGCTCACCCTCATCTCTTCACTCCCAATACTCTTCACAGCCATAGTGACTTGCCAGAACAGCACAAGATTGCCCTCTTCCTGATCCAGGGGTGAGGGGTAAGGAAGATGGGGGGGGGGAAGAGGAAGGGAAGAGGAGGGAAGATAAGAAGAAGTGAAGGTTGTTAGATCTAATTAGGGGAGAAAGCAATATTTGAGACATACTTAAAATGTATTCATTGTTTATCTGAAATTAAAATTTTGCTGTGTGAAGTGGCTCATGCCTGCGAGCTTTGGGAAGTGGGAGGATTCTTTGAGCCCAGGAGTCAAAACCAGCCTATGTAACATAGTGAGACCTTGGCTCTACAAAAAAAAAATCAAAAAGTTTAGCTGGGCATGGTGGTGTATTCCTGTAGTCCCAGGTACTCGGGAGGCTGAAGCAGAAGGATTGTCTGAGCCCAGGAGGTTGAGACTGCAGTGAGCTGGGATTGCACCACTGTACGCCAGTCTGGGCAACAGAGTGAGACACCCAAACTCAAATGAATGAATGAATTAATTAAATTTAATTGAGCATCCCATATTTCATCTAGAAACCCAACAAAAGAAGGATGAGGAAGGAAAGAGTGAGAAAAGGGAAGAGGAAGGAAAGGGGGCTGGGCTCACCCTCTTCCAAGTCCACCTGCAATTTGGGCCAAGGGTGTCATGGGATCCTTAGGAGGGGATGGTTCAGCATCAGTGATGCAGGGTCCAGGGACAGGGTGGTCTCACCTTTGCCCCTGTGGGAAAGGGCTCCACACTACAGCAAGGTCAGAGGATGAGGGCATGAGGAGGAAGGGATGGACCCTTGGGGCTAAGAGGCTACAAGTAGTCCTGTTGGGGATGGTCACTTGTCAGAGCTCCTGTGTCACAGTGAGCAGGAGGTGCGGCAGCACAGGGTGCCTAAGGCCAAGGCTGGCGTTGAGATCGGCAGAGTGCCCCTCAGTGTCTACTGATGTCCAGCCATGCCAAGACAGCTCCCACTCTGCACTCACAGCCAAGTGGGGGGCCACCCTCCCCAGCTCAGCCTCCAGTCTCACTCAGCCTCCAGTGTCACTCAGGCTCCTGAGGCTCAGCTCCAACTCTGAATGTTCAGGAGGCAGCGTTGAGAAGGAAGAGAGACCTGCCTTGTAGCTTTGGCCAATGGGCCCCCTTCCTTCCAGCAGTGTTCAGCAAACAGCAGAGGAACAGGAAGACCAGAGAGGACCTGCAGACTCCCCATTGTGTGAGAAGGAAAGCTAAGGATTTGGGAGTTTCTATTCCAACAGCCTAGAAATACAAGGAAGAGTCAGGGAAGGAAAGGCTTCAGGTGCCGTTGGGAGCCACAGGCTGTTTCCCATAAGAGGCGTCAGAGTCGGTAGCTGAGGCTGAAAGGCCAGGCCCCGTACCATGCAGACTTCAGGCCAAGGCCACCCATGGGCATCTCTATGCTGGTGCTAACTCGGCCCAGCCCCTGCCTCTCACTCCCTCCCCAGAAACCCACCACCACATTGGCCAGAGAGGTCCTCGTTCACGTCATGCAGTTAGAGGTCAGGTTTGTCCCAACACTTAGTACCCGTAAACACAAATGCTATGGGAAGTTAAGGCAAGACAAGCCCACAGAGAGACAGAAAACTACTGAAAGCACATACAAGGTTTATTCAGTGTCTTCTGAAGGGGCCGCTGAGAAATCCCCATCAATCTACTCCTCAGAAGAGAGTCTCTCCACTGCCCAAGTCACCAGCCCTATTTCCTGGGCCTCTGGGTTGGTGGGGGGCTGCCTCAGGAGTACTCCCAAGATGCAGAGGGGGCAACATGGCTGGAAGACCTTGAGCACCTTCTTTTGGGCCAGCAGGAGCAGCAGCAGAGTGACATCCGTGAAGGCCAGCTCAGCAACCAGCAAGTCCTTGGGCGTCTTGTGGAAGACTGGGAAGGAGGAGCCCAGAAGCACCCTGGATTGCCCAGGGATGCAAGGCAAGCTGTGCAGGGCACTTAAGGCAAATCCAGAGTTGTTCATCAAGGTAGGGAAAGAAATGCCTGGAGTGGCTGGGCATGGTGGCTCACACCTATAATCCCAGCACTTTGGGACGCCAAGGCAGGAAGATTGTTTAAGCACAGGAGTTCGAGACCAGCCTGGGAAACTTGGCAAGACCTCATCTCTACAATAAATAAAAAATTAGCTGGGCATGGTGTTGTGTGCCTGTAGTCCCAGCTTCTTGGGAGACTGAGGTAGAAGGATGACAATGATGTAGAAGGATGACACTGTCATCATCTTGACCTTCAGCCAAACTGTGACCACCATATAAGTGTCCTCTTCCCCTGGGAACTTTGTGGAGGGGAAGCTGTTGGCCCTGGGGTCCCCTCCCTCTTGCTTGGAAGGGGGACAATGCCCCTCCCAGTCCCTGACAGAGGCCCAGAGCCTGTTTACTCCCCTAAACAGGCCTGTGTTCATCTGCTAGATGGGACTGGGGCAGCAAGGTGTTACCTAGCAGGGTTTAAGAGAAAACTGAAGAACACAAACATCTATCAGCATGGAACTGGTTAGATTCTGCTACCTCCATTCCATAGATGTTGAACCATCATATATGTAAAAGGTGTATCTGACCTACAGAACTGCCTATACAATACTACAGAAGCCCAGTATAGAACATTACAAAAACCAGGTGCGGTGGTTCACATCTGCAATCCCAGCACTTTGGGAGGCCAAGGCAGGAGGACTGCTTGACTCCAGGACTAACCTAGGCAACATAGTGAGACCTCATGGGCCTGGTGGCATGCACCTGTAGTCCCAACTACTTGGGAAACTGAGGCGGAAGGATCACCTGAGCCCAGGAAATCGAGGCTGCAGTGAGCCGTGATCACACCACTTCACTCCAGCCTGGGCAACAGAGTGAGACCCCAACTCAATAAATAAATAAAATTGCAAAATCTGTACCATCATGCTAATGTGTGTGTGTGTATATATAGCAAAAGCCACCTGGAAATGGTTACACTGAGCTATTAATGAACAAGGATCTGGGTGATGGGATTATATGTTGAAGTAGCTGAATTTTATAGGATGGTTATATGTTTGCTTTATTATTTATGTTTGCTTGGTAAGGGGGGACAGGGGACAAGCTATCGTAGCACCTGTCATAGGCCCTGCCACTCGAGCTTCCTCCCCAAAGCCCCTGCAGGATCGAAGAGGCTCATGGTCTCCCTCTATGCCAGAGTCTACTCCTGTGGTGGGTACAACAACATCAATCTGCCCAAACAAGCCAAAGGCCCCCTGAGAGGCACCACCCCAAGAAGCCTCCCTGACCTGGTCCTGGTCTTGTTCCCACTGTACCTTCGTGGCGCCCTTTCCCTGGGTGGGAGCAGCCAAAGTCACAGCAGTCAACACACCAAGCTTTCCTACTTGTCATGTGCAGCAGGCTGTCAGCTGTCAATGATCCAGGCAGAAAGACATGCCCATCCAGGATGGTGCAGGATGACAGTCAGCCCGGGCAAGCAGGCCTGCTTTGTATCCTAATCCCAGCATGGCTACATTTGCTGTGCAACAATGGGTGGTCATTTGGCCTCTCTGGACTTTCTTTTCACTGGTTTATTAATACTTGGATCAGGAAGAGGCCGCTTACATTTTCAGGGTAAGGATTCTCCATGGCGCAGGTGAGGTATCCTGGCACACGATTAGCAAAGGCCTTTCGCTTCTCCCCATTGCCCAGCTTCCAGAACCCAGGCCTGGAGCCAGCAGGGCCCGCACTGTGTGGCCTTCAGGTCCCAAAATCCGTAGTAATTTCAGTGTCCCATAGCCTGAAACAGGGAGGGCTCATTCCAGACTCTCATCCAGCAGAGGATGTAAACCTGGAAGGATGGACCTAGGAAGAACTTGGTTCTCCCAGTC